CCCTCCCCCCTTTTTTTAAATTTTGAGACAAGGTCTCTCTAGATTGCTTACAGCCTCACTAAATTGCTGAGGCTGGCCATGAACCTACAATCCTCCTGCTTCTGCCTCCCAAGCTGCTGGGATTACAGGTGTTCGCCACCATGCTCAGCCAAAATTACACAAATTTTTAAAAAATCAAAACAAATCAAGCAATAAAAATAATATAAAATAGAAACCATGAAGATCCTATCTCTTCTTGAGGATGTATGAGTTTGTATCCTTCATATTTGTGCCTTTGTCTACAGTGAGCTGACCTGGGGTAAGTGAGGGACCTCAAGGAGGAAGAGCTTGGTATAAATAAAAGGTCTGAGGGGAAGGGCCTTCCCCGGCTGCAGGGGCCTGAGCCAGCGGAGCACTGGAACCCTGAATCTCCCTGGCCCTAGGCGCTAGTTCATGATGACCAGGGTCCGAAGTCAAGCCCCCTCACCTGGGCCATTCTGGGCCCCTCCCTGGAGTTTTTGGGGGTGGAGCAGTCTCTGTGCCCTGGGGTCACCTAGACACCAGGCCATCAACAACCACCTCACCACTGGGAAGAGCCTGCTGGAGAAGTGACTGCAGAGGCAAATAGGACCAAGGGACAGGGAAGAAGCGCTGGCCCCGTGGGCACTGTTTGAATACCTGGACTCAGCAAAACCAGTGAGTCCTCTTCAGGATGGATTTCTGTTGCTTACAACCCAGAGTCCTGGCCATGCAACTCTCAATTTAAAAAATATGTCTAGACAATTCATTACTAGCACATGAAGAAGGTATTGGCACAAAATTAAAATCTGGGTCCACTCATGCAGAGTGACCATCACAGTCTGTCCCAGAGACAGATTGTGGCCTTCCAGCTGGAGAATTGGCCATGACTGACAAGGGAAAATGGCTTTAAGGGGCAGATGTCACTAAAACACATCTATTTGGAGGGGGGGAATATATATATATATGTTCTATTTGGACACAATACCTTTATTTTTGTTTATTTATTTTTTAGAGAGAGAGAGAGAACTTTTTAATATTTATTTTTTAGTTCTCGGCGGACACAGCATCTTTGTTTGTATGTGGTGCTGAGGATCGAACCCGGGCTGCACACATGCCAGGTGAGCGCCCTACCGCTTGAGCCACATCCCCAGCCCACAATACCTTTATTTTATTTATTTTTATGTGGTGCTGAGGACCAAACCCAGAGCTTCGCATGTCCTAGGCTAGCCCTCTACCACTGAGCCACAAGCCCAGCCCCAAACACATCTATTAATGTGTGTGCATGCATGCGTGGGCACATGCACATAATACATATTAATTGTGGGAAAAAGTACTGCAGATCATCTATTGGTATTTCTCCTCTAACATTTTTACTATTCATATAGGACATTTCCCTTTATATTTTTACTAAATTAATTTTGACGACAGTAAACACTGTTTTGTGTCTGTCTTCTCTCCACAATAATAAATTGGAGATAACATTCTCTGTTAATATACAAAGATTTACCCCCAGATTTTAATGCTTCTCTGATATACATGCTATTTTTATATAAACACATTGGGAACCAATAACTTATTTAACCACAAGTAATTGGACATTCTAGTTTTCTCTCTTGTATAAACTATTTTATGAAAAATACTCTTATTTTGTGTCTGCACACTCGTCTGATTTTTTTTCCCCCGTACGGTTAATTGCTGGCAGTGGAGCTGATCATGTCAAGAGTAAGCACCTTTTGCCAGGCATGGTGGCTCACACCTGTGATTCCAGCTACTCAGAGGCTGAGGCAGGAGGATTGCACATTCAAGCCGGCCTGGGCAACAGAGTGAGAGCCTGTGTCAAAGAAATGAAAAGGGCTGGGAATGTGGCTCAGTGTACAGCACACTTGGGTTCAATCCCCACTGCTAAAGGAAAAAAATTCACTTTTTTTTTTTTTTACCTTTTATTGCTAAGTTACCCTCTAGGGAGGCTAATCTAACCTCTAGACCTATCCTCACGCTTATCAGCAGAGTATGCAAGTATACCCAAAGAGAGGGCTCCAATGGCCTGGTGGAGAAGGGAAAGAAGGGGAGATTGAGAGCCTGAAGCATACCCGGGGGGGTGGGGGGGGGAGGTGGGGTTAGGTTTTAAGCACATGATGCTGGAGGATGCAAGAATGAATGTCCGTGGTGTTCAGTTGTGTGGCTTGTACACTGCACATCTGTTTGGGAATCTACTCGAAACCATATACAGCAGACCTCTGAGATCTTGAGAAGCTTGGAAATGGGTGAGAGGCTATTTGTTACACTTGTCTGGTTTTAATCCCACTGCCCTTGGCGGCTCCTGACCACAGGTGTATAAACCTCCACTGATAGCCGGCAGCTGGGTGAGACACTGGACATTGTCCTGTGGTACAGTCTAGGAGCACTGCTATGCCAGAGTCTGAGAGTTTTCTTCCTGAAATTGTGCAGGATCTTTTAGATTAGGTAAGACATAAACAACTAGCATTCAATAATATTATAATTATAAAATCAACATTGGGCATTTACTCAATGAGAATATCATTTAGATACTAAAAAAAATTAATATAGGGCTTAATCACAAGATGGGAATTACCCATAGTATAACTAAGTAAAAAAAGAATAAACTGTCTTATGTGCAGGTTGTTTATAATTATGTAAAAAAAATGAAAAGCTACATATAGAAATAGGCTGGAAAGAAATACATAAATGTCTCTGTGGTTGTTTAGTGGTAGAAAAAATGTTTTTACCCTCTAGTTTTTCTATTTTTGAATTGTTTGCAAAGAATATATATTGTTTTTACACAGGAATAAAAAAAACCTTTATTTACATAAAGACTTAGAAACCTGCATTCAACCATAGTAATTTTTTCACTTTTTCTTCTTTAGTTAAAGCTGTATGTGTATGTGGACTTTGTATGTGTACGTGTGTTTATCTAAATATGAAAAAACCCAGTGTTCAGACCACATTTACTATTTTCTTTTAATCCAGTTGTTAATCTATTCAGTTTATTCTGCAATTTCAAAATCATCTTGTTTTCTACTTCATAGTATTCCTGTTTGGATTTGTAGTTTGGGCCATGCACACACCTATAGCACCAGCCTCACCTCAGAGTCTGAGGCAGGAGAATTTTTTGAACCCAGGAGCCCAAGAGTCAAGGCAACATAGCCAGACCCAGTCTCAAAAACACAAAGACAAAAAAACAAAATCAAAACCAGAAAACGACAACAACAATCAGAAAGAAAGAGAAGTACTTATGCTCCAGTAGTAAATCCAGTTGTGAAGCCGTTTGATTCTTTTGCCTACAAACCTCCTGCTGGGAGTCTTAGAAATGGCAGCCTCATCACCTGGAGAACAGGTGGCTCTCGTGCTCAGGAAAAGCCCTTTGCACCTGGATTGGACTCACTGGAGAAGCACACTGGATCAGTCAGTGGAAGGACAGTCCAGGAGGCAGAGCGTGCTGAGAACCCTAAATAAAAAGGGCTGGGTGTTACCTGTGTTCTGATTTGATTTAACTCTATTCTTCCTGAAAAGCCGCTCCTTTCTGTTTAGAGAAGACCAACCTGCACAGTGAGGGGGAAGATGGATGGTGCACCCAGCCCAAGAGAAGAACCGTGGGGTAGGAGAAGGCTCAGAGGACACAGAGGAAAGGTTCCGGAGTTCCTCCTGTATTTTTTCTGCAGAAAGCAGAAATTCCAACTTGAAAGCAGAAATTCTGCCCTGAGAGGAAGGAAAGTTTGTTCCAGGCCAGGAGCTGGCTGGGCGAGTGAGCAGGATAATTAAAAAATTTTTTTGGGGGGGGGGTTGTAAGGTCATTCAAGGTCATCTTCATCCCTAGCCTGTACTTTCTTGTTCTTGATGTCAGAGTCACATGGAAAGTCTTGTTTTTTTTTCTTCCATGTGAAACATGCCATATCCACTCATTAATAACCTGGGCTCTTGGAGCAGAGGGGCTTGTTGGAACCTCAGGCTATCTCCAGCCTTGGGCCGGTTATTGGACTTCTGAACCATGACTTCCTGTCTATAAAATGGGTGTCATAAGAGTTCCTGCCTTTGAAGGGTTGAATCAGATGGTTAGTTCACATAAAGGACCTGGCAGAGAGCCAGGCACCTTATAACTCCGCAGTCATTTGCCATCATTATTACCATTCTTGTTGGTGGTGGTTCAGATTTTCTTAATAGGCCATCTGTTATGGCTTGGACACAAGGTATCCCCCAAAAGCTCATGTGTGAGACAATGCAAGGATGTTCAGAGGTGAAATGATTAGGTAATAAGAGTAGTAGCCCAATCAGTGGATTAATCCACTTGAATGGATTTTGCTAGTTGGGTGGTAACTCAGGCAGGTAGTGTGTGGGTGGAAGAAGTAGGTCGCTGGGGGCGTGCCTTTGAGGTTTGTATTTTGTCCCTGGTGAGTGGAGCTCTGTCTCCGCTTCCTGGCTGGCATGTCCTGAGCCGCTTTCCCTGCCGTGCCTTCGGCCATGAAGTTCTGCCTCACTTCAAACCCAGAGCAATGGAGTCAGCCAACCTCGGACTGAACTTCTGAAACCATGAGCAAAACTAAGCTTTTCCTCTTCTGTGTTGCTCTTGTCAGGTGTTTTGGTCACAGCAATGAAAATCCTACTAACACAGCATCTTTTAAAAAGCCAACCAGCGTCCTCCTTGCAGTTCCTCAGTGACACCAAGCGGGCTCCAGTCTCAGGGCCTTTGCACTTACTGTTTGTCTTGGTACCTTCAACCTATCAGTTTTGGTGCCTTCCTTACCTTGTTAGGGTTCTTCTTGGATGTCTCTCCAGGTCACCCTTTCTAAAATAGCACGCGCTGGGCACCGTCCATCCTCTTACTCTGATTTATTTCCTTCCTCTCAATTGTCCCCTACCTGATATTGTATTAGACATTCGCTTGTTTGTCTCTGAAGCCCCTTGAACTAGAACAGTGTCTGATACATAGCAAGTGCTTAGAATTTTTGAAATGAGTGACTGAATTCCTTGAATGGTCTCCCCAGCGAGAGCGCCTGAGAAGGAAGAAGAGCCAGCCTCCCCTCCTGCAGGCACTTGAACCTGGGCTCCCGTGGGGAGCTGCTTGTGCGCCAGGATCCCTGACCTCTGCAGCTGTGCTGGTTAATCCCCCAGAGACTGCACTTGAGAACTGTGTGTTCGCTTCTGTCGTTGGCATTTGTGACCCAGCTCCTCACCGAGCCTTGCAATGTGAAGACCTGAAGTGGCTGTTGGAAATCCTCTCCTCCCAGTAGCATTGCCATGAAAGCCCGGGCACAAACGTTCATCTGAACATCAGACAGGAAAGACGGAATTGCCTTCCGATGGCTGATATCTGCAGGCAGGTGGGCAGACGCTGCCAGCAAAAGTCAGACATGGTATTGTGCAAAAGGAATGCTAAAAATGGGGTGTGGCATCAAATTACCACCCATGCTGTTGGTATTTCCCTACCTCCCAATAGCTGAGAGGGGCTGTCACACCCTTGTGACCTCCTGAGCTGTCTCCGCCTGGGTATCTCCTGGGCATTCTGTATAGAAGGATGTTTCCTCTCTATGGAGTCCTCTTGCTGTTTGCTGACTTTGGGATCTAACAATGTCATTGCATGTTTCCTACCACATTACCTTCTCAACCAGAAGATTCAAGTCCAAAGAGATCTGTTCCTTAGGCCATCTCCGACATAGTTTTGAAACCCACGTATTTGAAATTGGTTTTGAACATTTTATTACACGTACAAAATGTTTCTCAGTTGTTAGGAAGGTCAACATGACTTCCCTGTGTAAGTCTCCAGAACGGGAAGAATAAGATCCCCAAACTTCTCCACATGTAGAAGGCTTAGTTTTAGTCTGAGGATACAGACATCAGGTACTCACATCAGGTGTGAGGTGCTCCCTTCTGCCACCCCACTCACAGCCATACCTGCCTCCCACTGACACCTGACACCTGACTGTGGGTTCATTCTTTCATGGTCAAACGTGCATCGAGCGTCTTGCCAAGCACAAAACTGAGTGCTGCAGAAACAAAGCTCTTCCATGCCACGAGGATCCCCAAGACAGCTCTAACAATCAAAATGAAAATATTGAGAATATTTAAATATTAAAAATAGCATAATCTAGCCAGGTGCAGTGTTGCTATGCCAGTAATACCACTGACTCAGGAGGCTGAGACAGGAGGATCCCAAGTTTGAGGCCAGCCTGGGCAATTTGGCAAGACCCTGTCTCAAATTTTAAAAAAAATGAAAAGGACTGGGGATGTGGGTTAGTGGTAAAGGGCCTCCGGGCTCAATCCCCAGTACCACCCACTCCCCCACCAAAATAGCAACGTCTGATATTTTGGTACATTTGCTACATACAGCTCTGCACTAAGCGTGCATTACTATTATCTCACATACAGATGAGGAAACCACTTTATTTAAATGTGCCAACACATGAAACAGTGTTCTGTAAACTGTGGATGCACAAATGAATGATTCCAATATGGATGTGATGATATATTGATGTCCTTTCTATTTGAAAATTGCCAGATGTTCTATTTCTCAAATAAATGAGAGAGGCTTTAAAGACCAAAGGAAAGGGGGAGTCTTTCTGTCATTTTACGTGCGCCATCAGAAGGTTGCTTGAAAGAGTCACTGGGACGCTGGCGATCAGGTGGGGAAGTGGGGTGAACATGTTCCCTCCCAAGACCACAGTGGTACTGAGAAGTTGGCGCACCTTGCAGACCAGGGTGGTTCAGCAGGACGGGTTAGGTCAGCGCATTTGCCAAAAGCAAACACAGATGTCACAGAAGAACAAAGCAGGCAGAGGCATGACACCCATGACAGCGTCTCAGAGCCACTCAACAGCCAGTCCCTGAATCAGAACGAGAGGGGAAAGGGTCCCCACCACTGGCAAATATGAAACCAGATGCCACTTTGCTACCACCTTTTACCACCTCTGAAAATACTGTGAGGAGCACCATGGCTCCATGGTTTGGAGTGGAAGGCCATCTTTGTAGGAAGAAGTCTTTATTGATATTCTTAAGGAGAAAGAACAGATGCTGATTGTAAACAAAATTCAAATTCTATAGAGATGGTTCAAGGTGAGCAGACTCATAGGTGCGCACCTATAATGCCAGCTACTCTGGAGCTCGAGGCAGGAGGACTGTAAGTTCAAGGTCAGCCTGGGCAACTTAGAAAGACCATATCTCAAAATTCAGAATAAAAAGAGCTGGGGATGTGGCCCATGTGTATAGTGTCTGCCTATCATGGCAAGACTCTCACACTATCTGTAACAACATTTATCATATTTATATATTTGATATACTCAAATATTTTATAAATACACAATATGACAATATATCTGCAGTAAAATGGGAACATGTTCATCTGCATTCCTGGCCTATCCCAAAACCTCTTTCTCAGATGAAACCACTATTACGAGTTAGGGGTGTGCCTTTTCACATTTTTCCTTTGTGTATATGAGCATTTATATATACTTATTATGTTGCATGTTTGTACATATAAGAGGCATTTCTTTTATAAATCTGTGCCTGCACTGGAGAGCCATCTACCTGTCCCCCAGAGGTAGCATCCCGTGCGCAGTCTGCCCACGTAGATCTGTTCTGGAATATTCGTATTTGAAGGCAAACATACCACCAGGTAGCTGCTAGGTAGGGATTTAGACACACATTTCTCATTCCAAAGCCTCTGGCTCAAAGCTCCAGGATGCAGGACTGAAGGACCTTCTAGGGGCTGCTCCATCTTCATTTCCTCCTAAACTCCCGACCAGCCGTTCTTGAACTGCTTCCCCTCCCTGCTGCCTTCTGTATGCGGATTCCCGGTTTTGCTCAGCGGCTTGGCCACTTGCCTGAGCTTCCTCTTCCTCCCTTCCAGAGAGAGCCCCTCGGCTGCAGCTGCTCCGGACAGGGGCTGGGGGCACGTTTCCTCCCTTTGTGTGTGCTCTTTAGCCACCTCTGGGTTTTTCCTGCCTCTCAGGACAGCAGCCCAACCAGGTGAGCCGGAGTCATTGAAAGCAGCACTTCCGCTCACAGGCAGGGCTCGATTGTCATTTCTGGCTGACTTGTGACACTACCTAGGTGAGGACAGATGGCATCTGGCACAGAGACAACAGAAAACAGCTTGACGTGAGTCACATTTTCCTGGTGAATACTACGCTGCCTAGAAATGCTGTCGAAGACAGAAAGTTTGTATTTTGCAATTTTTTTTTCTTTTTGCAATTTTTTGGGGTGATTTGGAGGCCGTGGAGTACAATGGTGAAGGAGCAGCTTTTACAATTAGATCAATTCATCCACTAATATTTACCGACTCGTATTTATCCCTATTAGGTGGCAGGCAGGCCAGCCTCCTTCTGGGCGCTGGGAATGCTTTAGGGAATAAAACAAAGGCCTGCCTCACGGAGCTTGCCTTCTTGCCATGTGGATAATAGAGAGGTGTCAAGAAGTGGGTCAATTAGGGTGACCAAGTGGAGCTCTGTGGCATAGCACATACTCAACATGCCAGAGGCCCTGGGTTTGATCCCCAGCACCACCAGAATTAAAAATTAAAAAGTCAGCAATGGGCACAATGATGACATTTAATAAACCATCCCAAATTTTACATATGATCTTCACCTTCCTTGTCTGCAGACCAGTCCAATTTCACCTGCCCTGGGTTGGGCTCTGCCACACGTAGCTCTGGGCTGTGGGGTTCATCCTTCTGAGATCAGCAGGCTATAGGGCCTAGTGTCTGCATGGCAGAGTTTTGGGGGGAATGAGGGCCAGTGTCTCTTTGCAGGGTTCTTTTCTGCCCAGGGGAATCCAAGCCACCCTAAAACTTACAATCTCAGATAATTAATAAGTAACAAAACACAGATACTCAGAAATATATTTACATAATGCAAAGCCCCTGATAGATCTAGTCCCCATGGGTGCTGGACTAGGTGGTTTATTTAAGGGGGTACATCAAAGGCAGGGATAAGGTTTCCAGGGCGGAGTCTTGCTTGTGATGTTGGCAGTCAGCAGGTTGATTGGCATCTCAGCAAGTCACACCCATCTCAGGTGGGATCTTAGGCACAGCTTGAGGGGGAAGTTCATCTGCATCAGGTGGTCAATCCCTGTGGGGGGTGCCACAGGGAGTTCCCAGGGCCAGACATGCCCTCAGGAGGCTACTGTGAGCAACCCACGGGCAGCGCGACAGCGCGCGACAGCAGAGGTTTAATGCTCTCAGAGAGGTGACCAAAACTCACAAGGCTTCTCAGGTCCTAGACTAGGAGGTAGGCTTTGCCCCTGCCACAGACACACCCCAATGGCCAAAGCAAGTTACATGGCCAAACTCAGTGTCAGGTAGGAATCATACGCCTTGCTGAATAAGTATCTATAGAAAGAAATATCATGAAAGAAAACAAAGCAAATTAAAGGGCTAGAGAATAACGGAGACTACTATTTTAGGTGGTGAGGTTTGGAAGGGCTCTCTGAGAAGGTGTTGGGAAGAGACCTGAATGAAGTTCACTCTAGGCAGAGGGAAAAGCAGGTGCTGGAGGTATTTGAGGACCAGTAAGAGAGTCAGTGTGGTTGATGAAAGTGAGCCAGGGGTGAGGGGGACAGAGGCAAGAAAAGATCAGGGACCAGGTCCTGTGTCTAATGGGCGCCTTCAACAAGATGATGATTTTACTCTAATTTGATGAGAAGTACTAGTAGGGCTTCAAGCAGAGGAGTCACATGATCCGACTGACATTTTTTCAGGAATCTGTGGTAGTTGGCATCCACAGTGATTCCCCAATAATCTCTACCCGCTAGGATTCACATTCCTGCTGAGTCCCTTCCCACACTGTACCAATAGGAAATGGCAGAAATAATGGTGTGCCACTTCCAAGATTAGGTTATGAAAGATACTGTAGTTTTGTTTGCTCTCTCTCTGTCTCTGGGATCGTTCACTCTGAGGGAAGCCGGAGGTCCTGTCTCCCCGTGGAGAAATCTGCATGAAAAGAAACAGAGGCCTCCAGCCAAGAGCCATGTGAGCCAGCCCAGTGCATCCTCTGGCCCAGTTCAGCCTCTGGATGACTCTGGGCTCAACTGACAGCCTAACTGGAAGCTCAGGGGGACCCTGAGCAGGAACCACCCAGCTGAGCTGCTCCTGGACTCCTGACCCTCAGCACTGTGGTGCTGTCATTTTAGGTTGTCAGGTTTGGAGGCTGATATTTCTTATGCAGCAATGGAAACCGATACAATAACTGAGGTTGCTGTCAAGAGAGCAGATTGTAGGAGGATGACAGAAGCAGGAAAAGTTAAAGTGTAGCTCAGTGGTAGAGGGCTCACCTAGCAATCCCTTGGGTTCAATCACCATACTGGAAAAAAAAAAGGCAGAAAAACTACTGTGTATTACATGCTTGCTACTCAGACTGCGGTCCACAGGCCACGAGTATCATCCATCATCTAGTGACTGGTTGGAAATGCAGAATCTGAGGACCCCATCCCAGACCTTCTGAATCAAGATCTGCTTCTTTTTTTTTTTTTAATATTTATTTTTTAGTTCTTGGAGGACACAACATCTTTGTTGGTATGTGGTGCTGAGGATCGAACCCGGGCTGCATGCATGCCAGGCGAGCGCGCTACCGCTTGAGCCACATCCCCAGCCCCAAGATCTGCTTCTTAACAAGACCCTTGGGAGAGTCTTGACTTTCTAAAGTTTGAGGACTTTACAACACCATAGTTTTTTACAACACCATAGTTGACTGTCTGGGTAACAGAGGTGCCAGGATGCAGATTTGAATCCCGGTTTGCCAACCCTATGACCTTGGACAAATTACTTCATTTTCCTAAGCCTCAGTTTCCTTTCCTATAAAGTGGGAATGACCATGGCACTGCCCTCTTAGGAGGGTATAAATGACAGGGGGCGTGTCAGTCCTCAGCACAGTGCCAGGCACATGGCTGAGGCCTCCTAACTGCTGGCTTTTTATTAACTTGCTCTGACCCCTGCATTTGCTTCTCTAAGACTATATTCTGATCATTTCCTGATGGTCTCAATTAAATGCTGTTTTTATTCCCTGTCCAAGAAAATCCTGTTTTTGTTTTTGTTTTTTTTCAAAAATGTCCTTGAGCTCATCACAAAACCTTTGTCTGTTGCCCAGCATGATTCCAG